ACTATTAACTCGGGAATCACGGAAAGATATTCATCCTTCAGGGTTTCGAATTCAGCTTTCATGCGCAGGTGCGTGAAATTTTTAACTATTTTCCAATGTTTGAATTATTTTTGCACAGACTAAAGTACAAAGCAGTGAAAATCAATAGGCAATCGTTCGATGGGCTGAATTGCACAAAACGCATGATCGCCCCGGCTTGTCTGGTGCGCGTTGCTATTTATTTGCTGCTGTTACACAGCGTCAAACGCATAAAAGTAAAAGGAACAGCCTCAGTTCGTGGATTCTAAATTTCTTCGCCATAGGGCCTTGTTCGTCTTTTTGTTGTACAGTCTTGTGTCCGGCACTCCGTATTTGCTTCTTCCCGAATATGCCCTAACTTTTGTCATTTGTTCACCTCGCAAATGATAACGAGGAATGGGACAGTCGCTGAATTTGATTAGTAACTAACACAAAAACTCTGGGCCACTATTCTATTGGGGCAATATTTGTGCTGTCGTTGGTTAGCTATTCCAGCGAGTATCAATTTATTAATTTTAGGTATAATTTTTGGTGTAACTGATTTCACTTTATTAATTTTAGGTATAATTTTGCGGCAGTGCTTGTTCTGTTCGCTTGATTTGAATGAGTGCCGTGGAGGTTGAGGCTTGTGTTGCAATCCTAGAGGACCATTTTGGACCACTGGTATCTTACGTTGGAAAAGTGCTGCTCGGTGAAGCGGCAGTGTTATCGATCCTGTATCAGAGAGTGCGTGGAACACTTGATTTCGTGGAAGTAAGTGTCCTTTTTTTTTCGATCTTATGACTGTAGATAAAATGAAGTGACAGGTGGAATCTTAATCATTGAGGTGCCTCGTTGTTGGCAGTGTTCAAGAAGACAGATGTTAATACTCAAAACCCATAAATTACACCTCAGAAAAGCTAAATTCCTGTCACATTTTCCTTTTGTGAAAGTTACTGAGCTATCAGTCCTTTCCGAAACAAAACGAACGCCATGATCGCTAGCTGGCTGACCAATAGAGGTGCAGCTTTGATCATAGCAGCTGAAGAATTTGTCAGCTGCGCAGTTGGACAGAATTGCAACTAGCCGGAGTATCACAATAAGCTATAACATAGAGGGAGATGGAGGAGTGAATTGCGGTAAAGCAGAAAAAAGGCATTTTGCCCATTTACCCTGTGCAGCAGTAAGGTAATACTAGTAACAGTCGCCATACTAGTAAAAGTAATTAAATAATAATAACAATAATGACAATAATAATAACCATAATAATAATGATAATAATAATAACAATAATAATAGCAATAACAATAATAATAACAACAATTATAATAAAACAATAGCAATACTAGTAACAATAACACGACAATGATAGTAATGAATAATTAAATGATGTGGATTTCTTGTTAATAATACAAAAAACATGAAAACTCGAAAACTGTGTGGTAGCAAATCACTGTTCGTACAATTCTGGCTACTTTAGTTGAAGCGGGCACTGATTATTCTTGCGCAGCACGGGATTTTGCGATTCGCCCAGGATGAACGACAACGGGTAATCTATTCGACACAAACCATTGATGTTTTGCGATTGTTAAGAGCTGCACGCTGTTCATTTGTTGCAAAAACACTGTACGGAGAGATTGCGGAGACCATCTGTGAGGAACTGGTCAGCCAGGGTCGATTGACGTGTTCATCGTGTATCAGGCGTGTTGCTGCTCGATTGGAAGTGGACATTGTCCAGGTAATATGGCGCTGTAATAGCACTTCGAATGAGTAATATTTATTAAAAAATGACTGAATTGTCTGTTGCTATCAAGCAGCAAATACTGTATTTACAAAAAATACTGTACATGTACAAAAAATACTGTATTTTAAAAAGCCACAGAAGTATCCCGTGTGCGTAGCAAATTTTTTGTTTCAAAGTATAGAATTCCATCGGAAATGTTAGTTCGCATTTTTGGTAGTATCGTGAATCCTAAGTGACTCCATTGCTTTCTTCGAAGGTAATTAAGGTGCCGATGATTATCGTAAAGGTTAGAACGAATGTGTTTGCAGGTGAAAAATATATTTGCAAGACTTGCTGAAACACAGTTTGTGATGAGATGTCCCAAAGTTGAGAGCAAATTTTGCGGATGTCCTGTATTTGTGCAGCACGTAGATCCATTTATGGTGCCAGATGCCATATTAGAAGCTGGAAAAAAAGAAAGAGGTAAGCTTCGATTGCCTTTTTTTTTCAGTGAGTTTCCTGCAGAAGCACTTTACATGCATTCTTTTTCCAGACAGTCAATCTCGAAAACGAAAACATTCCGAGGATCCGGATGCTGATATCTACTGGTGCGTTAATTTTTTGCGTTTTGAACGGTATTTGCGTGATGAAATGGTCGTCATGGCTTATAAATCTGGTGATGCTTGCCATGAAAACTGCATCAAGGTGCTGCAGCTTTTACTGAAAGTAGCCGAACTGAAAGCTGATTCATCAGCCGCGTCATCTTCTCCCATATCTGTAAGTAATACTTCATACTTTGACTAGCTTTATTTACTCTTTCTGAGGTACTACTTTTACAGCGTCAATAACTGTGATTGTGCCTAAAAAACAGATTCGTCTTGCCGAATTTTCGCATATTTTTGTCTGTGAAACAGTAGTACAGCGCTGAGATTGTGAATCAAATTAACAGTATTATAAATCAGTTGGCAGTATTCGTCAATCCTCGAGTTAGTACTGGTTTCAGAAATCATACACTACTTGTGTTTTAGATCCATGACGTTGTGCGAACTTCCAGTGCGAACAATATGGGCTTAGAGAAACATGATATCAAGACAGCACTGCAGCTGCTTTGTGAAAGTAGCTGCATTGTAAGAAAAGTGGGCGAAAGTTGTGGAGGCCTTTTTGTTATCGGTAAATTTTACAATTTCGTGAAGTTATGTAATATGCCATCCATTCTCAGCAACGAAGAAGTAGAGCAGCGAAAGCCAGAATTATTGAAAGGCTGATTGCTAAGTGATTCAATTTGGCGTGAAAATTCGTTCATTATTTTGATGGTACGAATATGCATAACGACGAGTTGTTCAAAGATATGAAATTTTTTATAACACTTATGTATTTATCGGTTGTTTTTTGTCCGGTTTTTGTTATATTTTATTTCGAATCAACTCATCGTTGATTTGCAGATTTCGAAAAAGCCATAACTCTTCACTGTCAGAGGCATATTGAATCAGCAATTCGAGAAAAACTTGATTTAAGAGCCGTGCGTGTCTTTCGTCTTCTCACCCAAAAGGGTTTTCTGGAGGAAGATCACGTGAGTGATTGTTTTTTATGAATTGCATTCTGCAATGTGAGAACAAATTCTTCGTCATGCAGACACATTTTTTAGATTGAAAAATTAGCGATGCTGTCGACAAAGGAGGCGCGTGAGCTGTGTTATAATTTGTTGGAGAAAGAGTTTGTTTTAATGAAGGTATTCGCTGTTTTTCTTTCGTAAATTTCGTCATACTTTTCCACATGACCCATCCTACACTTTTAAATCTTTATCTCCTTCAAACTGTGCGGGTAAAGTTGTTTTCACACGCTTTCATTCCCACTGAAAATCAATTCTACAAGCAGGCGATTTGATCTTTTTCTCTTCTTAGCTTCGATTTGAGCTCAACTTACCCAAGATATTTCCATTTTGCTTTGTGCATTCGCTTACAATTTTGATATCAGATAATTTGTTTTTCTAATTTTGTTAATTGTCTTTTGTAGCACGTGGCGAAAACGAATGATTTCGCACCGGCCCGTACAATTTATCTTTATTATGTTGATCTCAGCGTTGTAGCGCACAATTTATACGTTTCAACTTGTAAGGTATTATCGTTTTTATCGCTTCACTGCATGCTTTAATTTCTGGTTGCTCCCGTAGCATCATCTTGCTTTTTCTGGTCGGCGATGCAGCTATCAGTGCCTTCTTTCTTGATGCTTGGCTAATCACGTTCTTGTCAATATAGGCTCGTCAATATGAAATCCTTCCGCCTAGCGACGGCTTTTCCGATGTTTGATTAATGTCACTGCTTTCATTTCTTGAAAATTTTTGTAGCAAGCACTCAGTTAGTCGTCTTTCTTGTAAATGAAAAAAATACAAACAATAATCTTTCAGGCATTGAGAAATATGATTGTTCGAAGACGGTACGAAACAAAAAAGCATAAGTAAGGCTACGCATTTCTGTTTTACCTCATTTTTTCACGATGATTAATTTTGCTAGCCACTCATCGACCACTAAATTAAAACATGATATTCAGACAGCGCATTTTTGACTGAATTCGTTGCCATGCTGTTTCCTTTGATAGCCTCTACAGCGGAAATGATATTTTCAGAACTTTAATAGAGCGAAATTTGAAAATGGAGACAATAATTTCAAACATTGAGGAGGATGATCATCTTGACGCGGAAATGAAAAAGCAACAGGCCAGTTGATCACACAAAATTATAATATTATTTCGAGTTTTTGACAATAAAAAAAATTGTTGTTCATAACTGCGGAATTTTAAGAAACGATGTTTTCAGATAAGTGAAGTGGAGGAGATGTATCTTACTCCTTCTGATCGTGCTACCCTCGAGAAATACCGGAAAGGACAGTTGGCACTAATGTCCGCAGAGATCGAGCTTGACCATGATTTACTCCTTTACAGTTTATTCTTGAAGTTTGCGCGACGGAAACTTTGAATATAAACCTGTTTAGGCTTGATTGTACTTGTTTTTTACCCAACTCCAACACTCGAATGCTATATTCAATGATGCTATGAACCTTGCTGTTTGTTATCAAAAAGCATTGAAATTATCGTTTGTAAATTGTTATTGTGTACAGAAATTATCACATCATCGCTTTCTTGGATGGTTTGTGCTGCATTACATTTCTGTGTGTTAGTGGGAAATTTAGATATGTTTATGAAATTTCGAATGCACTTTGTTCTTTTGGATGTCAGGCAATTTGCCAGCCAGTCAAAGATAGGTCGATTAACTACTGACTCCAAAGATCGGCTGGATGTTAACTTACCAGAGATGACCAATCGATTAATTGAGTAAATATTAGCTGGGCGATAAATTGATCGGTATTAACGGGTGTTTTGTAACCTACATAGAATGCTAACTTTTCTTTAAAATTTTTGGAAGAACGTAGAACTTATCAAGGGACTTATCAAAAGGTTGTCAAAGGTGGGTCTGATAAGTCGTCGATATCCAGATTGATTCTTTATCCGTCAAGGACTCCGATTATTCTTGTTATTTCTCGCTGCTCAATAAATTGTTTGCATGTCCGAAGTGTAATAGCACTGTAAGCGAGAAATTTAGCTGATGTGGCGCATTTTTGCTAAATAATCGGCTCTTTTTTTTCTTTGTCTATGTTTATTTTCTAATAAGCTGTGTGTACGCGTTCAGGCGGTGATTGCGTAATGCTTCGCGCTTTTGCACCTAAGGGCTAGCGTAATAATTCGGACAATTCCTTAATCCTAAGACAGAAAATATATTACACTAGCGCTGCTATACGGCAACTTGAGAGGCTATTGGTTCGTTTGTCAGACGTTATTGAAATCCCACGTGTTGGCTGCAGCAAATCTTGTGCATGGGGTCACAATTCCTATCGTTATTGTTATTATTATGTCTGTTATTATTATTTGTTGTGTGCTAATTATGGGTTCGAATTCAAAAAAAAAATTTTTTTTTCGAAGGTTTTGCGAGATGTCTTTCACAAGTAGGTGCTGCACGGGTCTGACTTATGCATTATTATGCGTTTTTGCATATATGCAAAAATACATATTGTGACGACCCCGGTGTGTGTGTGCGCGTCCATCCGGATATTTCAACTCGGCACCCAAGCAGGCTCCGGCGCCAAAATCTTGCTGGTAGATTCCCCGGCCAAGTGCCACCCCAGGACCGCGGTATCAACTCTCACGCAAGTCTGGGTCCCGCATGCGAGGGGGTGAAAATTTTGGCGGGAAAATCGCTAACTCGGGAACCAGGGAAGCTAGAAAGCTGGAATTTTGAGGTTATGTCCCACGTCTCCATGGAACTCAAAGATTTCAAACTCAGCCCCCAGGCATGCGTGATTCCCGCGTATGGCTCCGTAAGGGTTCCTGGCGCGAAAATCGCTAACCTGGAAATCAGGAAAACTGGGGAGCTGAAATTTTCAGAGAATGTTCCTGGCACATGTGCAACTTAACCAATTTCCGCCCCTTACCGTGTGTGGTACTCACGTGCCGCCCCGTGAAAATTTCCGGCGCGAAAATGGCGAACTCAGGAACCAGGAGAGCCGGGAGGTTGAAATTTTCAGGGAATGTTCCCAGCTCAGGTACAATTTAAATTTATCAAATCCAGCCTCTCAGCGCAAGTGTTCTTCATGTAAAGCCCGTGAAAGTTTTTGGCGCGGAAATGGATAATTCGGGAACCAGAAAAGCCCGGAGGCTGAAATTTTCAGGAAACGTTCCCAACTCATGTACAGCTTAAATTTATCAAACTTAGCGCCGCTGGCAAGCGTGGTTGTCACGTTCGGCCTCGTGAATATTTTTGGCAGGAAAATTGCTAACTCAAGAAGAAAATTTGGAAAGCTGAAATT